TATTATTGCAAACTTTATTCTTATGTACACTTATGTATACATTAATTTATTTGTTTATTGGCTGTTTACTTTTTTTAATGATTTAAATTTATAAACTAAAACTATAAACTAAACTATTTTTGTAAACTTAATTCTTTTGCTCATTTATATGTATGCATCAATTTACTTATTTACTTTTTCATTTTTTTAATCAAATACTTATACACATTGTTGCACACTTCCATTCCATTTTTTTATACATTTATATATGAATAATTTATTTATTTATTAGTTTTTCACTTTTCTAATATTATTACAAACTTTATTCTTATACTCACTTATGTATAGATGAATTTATTTATTTATTAGCAATTTTTTAATGATTTAAACTTATAAACTTAATTCTTTTGCTCATTTATGTATGCATCAATTTATTGTTTTAGTTATTTATTTACTTTTTTAATTAAATTATTGTTTTAATGAAATACTTATATACATTGTTGCAAACTTCATTTTTTTGTGCATTTTTGTATGAATCAATTTATTTGTTTATTAGTTATTCACTTTTTTAATGATTTATTTATTAACATTGTTTTATTTAATTATTAACAAATTTGTTTTTTTGCTTACCTATGCAACAACTTATTTATTTATTTACTTTCTTTTTTAATGATTAATTTATAAACATTATTGCAAGTACTTTATTTTATTTACTATGTGCATCAATTTATGTATTTAACTATTTATCTTTCATTTTTCTTTCATAATTTACTAATAAATATTGTTCAAATTTTTGTTTTGTTAACTTGTCTATGAATTTACTTATGTGTTTATTTATTTACTCATTTATATGGTGATTTATTTATAGATATTATATTTTGTTGCAAATTTCTTTGTTTTATTATTATATATGCATCAATTTATGTCTTCATTTATTTTCTTAGTTATGTATTTATTCATTTATTTATTTATTGATTTATTTGTAAACTTTATTGTAAACTTCTTTATTTATCTCATTTATATTATTTATTTTTTTCTAGATCACCTGGATATTTGTTTTTAATTTATTTATTCATTTATTTATTTTATATAATAATAATTTATTTATTTTTGATTTAATGTTATAATTATTTATTTATTTATTAGTTTCACTTATTCATTTATATAAAAAAAATGAATTTATGTTATTTATTTTTTTCTAGATCACCTGGATATTTGTTTATAATTTATTTATTCATTTATTTATTTTATATAATAATAATTTATTTGTTTTTGATTTAATAGTATAATTATTTATTTATTTATTAGTTTCACTATTATATAAAAAAAAATGAACTAACAGATGAAGTAAAACTAAACAAATGAATGAATATATAAGAAAATAAATAAATGAAATAAGAAATAAAAAATAAATAAATTGATATATAAATAAATAAAATAAAGGAATTTATAATAAAGTCTATATATAAATAAATAAAGGAGGAAATAAAGAAATAAATAAATGTTGATACAATTAATGCAGATACTAAATAAAAGATTCTATAACAAAATCTATAAACAAGTTACTAAAAAAGTGACTGAATAAATACATAAATAAATGTAAAAAAATGAAAGAATAAAAAAGTATATAAATAAATCAATAAATAAATGAAATAATAAAAGAATATAAATATACAGAAATAAATAATTATAAATGAAAAATTATTATTATTAATATATATAATATATTAATTAATTAATGTAATTAAAATATATTATGTAATGCTTTGATTTTCAGCAATTCGATTATCGAATTTGCTTACGATGTCAATCAATCAGAAAATCATTAAGCGAATTTTAGCGCGTGATATTAGTCTCCTATAAAAAATCATTATAGCAGGATGCATAATCATAATTCAATGATTTAAGAAATTCTATTCATATTCTGTTATCGAATTTATAAATTATCAGTTTTATTTATGTAATAATTCATTTATTATTATAATTGTAATATTATATGATGAAATTAATTAGTGTTTTAATTTTCTTTGTATTTTTTCAATTATATTTTAATTATTAAGATTACTGATATTTAATACTTTTTCATGGGAAGAAATAATTACTTTTCCATATTTTTCAATTTATATTATATCTTTGTGATCATATTTTTTGAAGAGATGTCTTTAGAAAAAGATTTTACTCAAAAGATGGCACTAATGGTCAATTCTTACTCTATCTTTCCTCTTTTTTTTATTATTATCTGCTTTGTATATCAGTGTCATTTATGGCATTTCTAAAATGACGCTATTTTTTAAATTTTTATCCTATCTCTATTATTGCTTGCTCTCCTTGATTTATAATTTATGCATTTAATAATAATTCTGATAATTAGCTTATAATTTTATTGTTTCTTTTATCTTTTTTATCTTTCTTCACCATTTTTTTGTTCATTATCTATTAATTAAAAATCTTAGAAACTATTTGATTCAATTTTTATATTGTTTGCTATGTATGTACATACATTTTATAAATATTTATTTTTTTATCTTTATATTTCATATATATTATATATATTATATTCGATATATTTAAAAAATTGAAAAATATAATAAAATTCTGTAAATAATATATTTGTTGTTTGTTTAAAAAAAATCTATTAATCAAAGTAATGTTCTCAATAAAAAAATCATTATACATAATTTATAAAAATCATTACATAATTTATACAGAAAATCACTAGAATCTTTCAATACCAACTAAGCCACAAAAAAAAACATATATTCTTCACATGAAGATCTATACTCATATATGTTACCTATATATATTTGACAACTGTTGCTGTAGCGTCGTATAGAAATTATTTAAAGTATTTTTTATCATTATATATTATACTGTAAACTATTACCGAGGAAATAGAATTATTAAGTTATAGTTATATTTAAAATCATTGTTAAAATGAACAAATTAATTATTCTGATTGTAATTTTGTTAACTTTATTAATTAATCAAGGTATAATTAAATTATTATTGTGTAAAAGATACAGTTAATCTATCTTCAAATATTATTTTTATAATATATATTTTGCATTTTTAGGAGAAAGCTTATATTGTTATCGCTGTAATAGCAATCATCCTGGGTGTGGCACACCTTTAAATTGGTTATGGTATTGGGGAGAAACATGTCCAGAATATGATGATAAATGTGTAAAAATTATTGAAAGAAAAGGAGGTAATTTTTTTTTTATTATTTGTATAATTCTAGATATTAACCATATATAACATTTATCATTAATATATTAATCAATTAATTATTAAATATTTCAGCTGAAACCATGATAACACGTGATTGTTTAAGCTCTGTTCGTAGTTTTAGAACAGATATTCCAGCTGATCGGTATGAAGGTTGCCGACCAGCTGCAAAGGATGTCAGATTAGGACATTATGTAAATAATTCTATTTGGCAATTAGATATTCACAGAGATTATTATGATGAAGTAACATGGTGTTTCTGTTACTTTGATCATAGATGTAATAGCTCTGATAATATTAATGTTTCAATATTATTGTTACTTATAGGTATTGGAATACAATTTGCAGTATGAAACATTTATCAAATATTAAATATTAAATATTATATTTTATTTTTATAAATATATAATATAAATATTTAATATTTAATACATAAATATTATATCAAAGTTTTTTTTATGAAATTGAATTAAATTTATTTACTTATATTAATACCTACATGCAGTTAAATTTTGATACAACTTAGTATTTGTAATTTTTGTACATAGTGTAAATAAGCATTTAAAAATGAAAAATACCAATTTTTACATAAAATTCAATGATAAGAATCATAAAATCAACTAAAAATTTGATATTAATGTTTCTATGTTTAAAAGTTTTTATTATACTATACATTTAGCTTCAAGTAGTAAATTCATAATATAGGAAAAATTCTATTCTTAGATATACAATATCTAATAGTGTTATATTTATTCCGTCCATAAAAATCTTTTTACAAATTAAAAGAAATTAAATTATTTTTACTATTTTTATATGAAATAATATCTCATTAGAACATTAAACAATATTGGGAACACATTGATCTATTGTATTAAAAAATTAAAATTAAATTGCTTAATTTATATATATATATTACTAAAATTAATTTGTTTTTTTCATTAACAAATAAGTATAATATTTTTAAATTTCTTTTTAATAGATATATATTAAAATTCCGTCCATTGTTAAAAAAAAATAATTTTTTAAACTTATTAAATGTAAATTTTTATATGTATAATCCAATAAAAATATTATCTTAAAATTTGTTATATTTATTTATATTTGAAAATGATATATGAAATTATAAAATTATAGGATATATATATATATAATTCAAAATTATATAAAAACAATATCTTTATTAAAAAACATATTTATGACAGATGAATCTCAAATAACATATGAATAACTTATAAAAATGAAAAATGTTTATTTTACAAATTTAGTTTGTCGTCAAACATAGATCTAAAATATAAAAAATTAAAACTAAATTGCTTAATTTATTAGAAAATATAAAATAAATTTAGATAGAGAATTTAGTTGAACTTTAAGTTAATTATATATGCAAAACATAAAATACTAACAAAATTGTTATAATACAATTTTATAATAAATTATTTTCCTAAGCAGCTTTTACTGTCTGTTCTTGTCCTCTTTGTGATATGGGATTCTTCTGAACTTGATTTTCCTTTTGTTTTTCAATTGGTTTTGTATCATCTCTTAAAGCAGGTTTTCCTGTAATTTGAATTTTAATAATTCTTTCATTCTTTGATGTTGGATCAATCTCTTTTCTTGGTGCAGTGATCATCAATATTCCATCAGAAGATAAACTTGATTTTAATTGATCAATATCACATTGTTCTGGTACAATATACTTTCGTACAAATTGTCTGGATATCCATCCATGTTCATCCTGCTTTTCTTCATGTTTGCCTTCGACAATTACATTCTTTCCCACAACTTTAACAGTTATTTCTTCTGGAGCAAATTGTTGAACATCCAATGATACTTGAAATTTATTTTTGTCAGCTTGTATTGTAGATGTTCCACTGGATTTAGGATTTATAATTCTTTTATAAGGCTGATATCTGCAAAAATAGCGATGAGGTCTTAGCATTAAAATATCAGTATCGTCAGGAAAAAAAGATGTTGGTAAATCTTCAGAACTCGGTGGAAGTCCAAAATGTTGGTCAAAGGAATAATAAGGTGTTTTCAAATCCTCTTCCCAGTTAAGAAGTACCGGCAAAAAAGACATTGTTTTTCTTTTAATTCAAAAATAATTCAATTTCTTGTCGAATATTTATTTTTTCATTTAAAATTTTCTCTTTTCTTTTGTAAAGTCTTTTTCTTCATTCACACTTGACCACACTAAGATGTTTGGCTCGTAAATGTTTATGCAACAGTTTCGTTCGAATTCTATTATAATGATTCCTACGCGCGAATATATATTTCATACGCCATGAAAAGTGGGGGTAAAGATAATCAAGAAACATGTAGAGTTTTCTGGAAATCGAATTTTCTAAGTAGAAAATAGAAAGATATTTATTACCAAAATATTAATTTTAACTTCTAATTCATAAAAATATAAATATAATTTTAAATAAAATAAAAACTATTTTAAAATATTTGTTTCTATTTGTTTAAAGACGCGCGAACATTCAATTAGCAATTAATCCATGTAAATAAAATTATACAGTTTTAAATCTTCATGAATCTTCTATTATATAAAATATATTGTATAATATATATACATATATTGATTTTACATAATAATTCATTTTACATTAGAAAAATCTTATAAAATATTATATATAAGATTTTTATTTTATCATATTATACTATTTTTATACTTTGACAATATATTGCAAACAATGTATAAAAATTGTATTTAAATGATTTAAAAAAAACTGAATTCTTAATGTTTTATATAATTTTAAACAAAATTTTAATATTGTTTTAATTAAAATTTAATTATTTCCATATCATTGACAATTTTGTTAAAATCAAATTTCAATAATTATAAATATATTTATTTAAAGAGCTATTTCATTTCTAACTTTTTTTTATTTCTTGACTTTATGATAATGCTATTACATCAAACAAGAATAAATTATTGAAATTAAAATCAAAAGTCAATAAGTTAATCAAATGAAAATTATTAATAGTTAATAATTTTGAATTTAAAAACTATATTTTCTTAATAAAAAATATTAAATAATTGATAAATGAATTAATTTTCTTAAAGAATAATTATAAAATTCTTTAGAATTTTAAGATATATATAAATTCTTATAAGAATTTATTTGAAATTTGTAATATATTCAATAAGTAATTAATATTCAATAAGTAATAATATTTTTTATACTTTTTATATATTTTCTTGATTTACAATTTTAAATACTTTAAGATAGTTTGTTTTTTTTAATCTTTTTTATTTTTTTAATCTAATCAATATATTTCCAATTAGAAAATTTCCTCTATTGAATTTTCTAGAAATACGTATTAAATATATCCATTATATGTAATAATCATATATACATAATAATTACATATTTAATAAACAATTTTGAAGAAACATTATCATTATAAAAATCTTAAATTCAAGTAAGTAAAACTAAAAATGCTAAAAAAGTTATATATTTTTATAGAAATTTTTTTTTCAAATAAATTATATGTAATATAAATATTGTATTAACAAATTATTACTGAATTTTAATTATTACTAAATTTATTAATAAATTTAATTAATATTATTATACAGTTTATTATAAACTTTATTTAATTTGAATACTTAACTATTACATGTATTATATTCATAAATGAAAATACAAGTTATTTATTTAATTCTTATTATAATTATTTGAAATATATACGTACGTATTTTAAAATACAAATATGAAAAATTTTAATCATATATAATAAACTCTTTCTGACTGTTAGCCTAGTATACATATGTATTATACAGTACCACCCACTCAATAGTTGCTCTATTCTCGAATTCTCTTGAAGTTTCGCGACTGCGCAAACTCATATATAAATACAGCCGATAAGAACCGCTATCGTCAGTATTTTGTTAGCATTCGAACAGTGAAGATCGCAAGTCCGAGTGAATTTCACTTAATTTCGCTAGATAAAAGTGTTGAACATTAATACATTTATCGTCAACAAATTAAATTGTCGCAAAATGTCATTGATACCTTTGTTATTCTCCGATTGGTGGGAGACTTTGGATCGCCCTCACCGTCTCTTGGACCAGAATTTCGGATTAGGCCTTTATCCTGACCAATTGTTATCACCGAACCGATTGGAATTATGTTTACAACCACGAAGAGGAAACGTTTACATCTCCAGACCGAACTGGGCTGAACTGTTTCGTAGTGACAGAGGCAGCTCAACTGTTCAAGCAGATAAAGATAAATTCCAAGTTGTACTTGACGTTCAACAGTTTGAACCCCATGAAATCGATGTTAAGGTCGTTGATAAATTTGTCGTTGTTACGGCAAAGCATGAGGAAAAACGTGACGAACATGGTTGGATTTCACGTCAGTTCGTCAGAAAATATCTGATTCCGGAGCAATGTGATCTTGAACAAGTCTCATCGAAGTTATCATCTGATGGAGTTCTTACTATCACTGCTCCAAGAAAGGATCAAGGAAATGTAGAAAATGAACGAGTAATCAAAATCGAGCAAACCGGTAAACCAGCAATCCAGACGAAATCATCCAAGCAGCAGCAGAACCGAAATGAAGAAAACGAAGAGAAGAAATAAAAATTTTAATTAAAAAGTTAGATATTTCTGCCATTTATGAAATTTCCTAATATAATTATTATGCATTGTTGAACTACAATTAAATTCCTATCGCAACTTTAAATTATTATAGTATTATTAAAGATATGATGTAATATATATTGTGAATAGTTATTTCATTTTTTTTTCATGTATATTGTTTTCATAACTAGGTAAATATATATACATATGTTATATAATTATTTCTGCCAATATATAAGATTTATGTAATTTTTTTATGTTTTAATAGATTTGTAATTAAATATTATATTTATTTTTTGTGAATTTTATCTTTTTATCATTCCTAGTTTTCAATTCTTTTTATTGAAAATCCGAACATAACTTTAATTCCTAAACTTTTGAAAATTATAAAATATAAATTATAATAAATATAAATTATAATAAGATATATATTTGAAAGTCTTTTATTAAAAAATATCAAATGATAGCATGTAATTAAAAATTCGTTATATTTTCTTTTCTTGTATTATTTAAAAAATAAATACTATCCAAGATATATATTATTATTTGTAATTGTTAATAAAAGCCATTGCAAATATTATTTTTTAATTAAAATTAAAAATTCTTAGCACAATGTTAGTAATAATCTTTTTTTTTTAAGGATTTTTTGTTTAAATGAAAAAATCTAAAAGTTAATTTCTTTTACGAGTTTCAAAAATACAATACGTAATATCAAATTTTATGATATACACAAGGAACGATATTACAATTTAGAAATATTGTTTGATTCCAATAGATACAAATATAATGTAATATAAATGTAAATCATGTTTATTAATTTTTAATATGTATATTTTCCAATTCCTTTCGCTCTCAAAAGTTTTAGCACATTTATTAAAAAATTCATAAAAATTTATAAAATAAATAATTAATTAATGATATTAAATTTTTAAATTTAAATAATAAAATTTAAGAAATAAAATTTAAATGATATTAAATTCTTATTAGAATATTCGCATTTAAAAGAAATATTAAATTAATCTCTATTAAACAAGTAAAATGTATAGGTAATACATATATGCAAAACGTGTACGTATTACTGAAGAATTTCTTGTAATTAATTAAAATTTAGTACAAGGAATAAAGGTTATATAAGTAATACTGAAACATTATACTATTTTTTTATAATATATTTACACATCATTTATTCTTCATCACAAACAAACATCTTTCAAATATATATGTATATGTATATATATATATATAAAAATAATTATAATTATCTGTACACTAATGAATACAGTAAAAAATAAACACATAAAAATACTAAATATACAAAATTAATTCATTTTCTATTGTGTTTGTTTTATTTTCTGAGGTTCATCTTCTACCATAGGCTTCCCCGTTTGTTCGATTTTTATAGTTTTTTCCCGTTTACTTTCAGCAGCTTCAGGTCTTAATGGTGCTGTTATCGTTAAAATACCATCTGTAGACAAATTACTTGTAGCTTTCTCAGGATCACATTGATCTGGTACTAAATATTTTCTAACGAAGTGTCTGGAGATTAAACCGTGATCATCTGCCTTGTCTTCATGTTTTCCTATAAAAATAAGATTTAATAAAATTTATATACATGCAAAATTTAAATATTCATATTCATTGTATTAATTTATTATATTACTTTTAACGCTACAAGAAACGCTATAAGAAAAGTATGCAATATATAATCATTACATATTTATTCTTTTTTTTTTCATATTTTCATATAATTTTTTCCCTAACATTCTCGCATTCAAAGTATTTTATTTACTTTAAAAAACTTACCTTCCACAACAATGAAATTATCAATAACTTTGACATTTATTTCTTCCGGTTTGAATTGTTGCACGTCAAGAATCACTCGAAATTTATCTTTATCATTTCTCATTATGGACCAGCCACAATCTTCCTCTCGTTCCCAATCTATCCATGGTCGAGAAAAATTATAAGGAAATGATCTAAATGGTATTGAGGGAAAAAGTTGATCTGCTCGCAATCCTCTTCCAAAATGCTGATCCAATAACCGATGTGGTTGTTCCAATGCTTCCCACCAATGAGAAAACAATCTTGGAATTAATGTCATTCCTCTCCTCATTTTGAATTTCTATTTTTATTCACACTTTCTTAAAAGAATTAACTTTGTTATCAATGCGAAAATACGTGCGCACTCCTCACTTGATCTCTGTATACTGACAGCGTGTGCCGGCAGCGCAACTTTATATATACTCAATGAGGGGGGGTCTTTAGAAACGCGTGGATATTGAAATGACGATTGAAAATTTTCATGAAAATTCTAGAATATTTTTTGGATTTTTCTAGAAATTTCTAAACCGATTAGTGACGTAATGCCATGATTATCTATGTGTCATGATTATTTATAACTATAAATTAATAATTAAAAAAAAGCAAAATATTTTCGAGCGAGAATTAAATTTTTCCTATTTGTTATTTCTTTAATTTTTTATTGTTAATATTTTTCTAAAAAGATTTAAAAGAAAGATAAAAATAAATATATGAAAAACTTTAAAATATTATTACGATTTAAAATTATTTAGAATACGTTATCAGAATATGTACGAAATCATATTGCAATAATATTACAATAAATTTTTCATAAAAGTCTGAAATTAATTTATGACTCATACTTGTATATATGAGTTTATTTTTTCATATTTTATGCTTATTAACAAAAGTTTCATCATTTTATTTTGTATAGAATCACATCACCTCTACCTATCCAGATAAATTGCATCATTGTCTGCTTAAAGCCTAACAATATTGCATCAGCTTCATAGTAGATAGATATACAAATTTTGTTTCTGTATAGAAATGACATTTATTTTTGCCATACCTAAAAATAAAAATATAAATTAACGATCTAATTAACGATATTCACATATTTGTTATATAATGTTCATATAAAATATATATTGTCATATATAGAATTATTTAATATCTTATTTAGCAAAAAAAGATAGATGAATTAATAATTTAATTTTCTTATTTGTATTATTTTTATATAATTTTTAATAGAATTAATTTTTAAGAACTGTGAGATATGATATAAATACTATTATAATAAATATAATAGTTCGGTTTTCTTTTTCTTATATTATTTTATTAATTTTTTTATATCAAATAATATTTTTTTCCATTCAAATTTAATATTTTATATGCATAATTTAATATTTTAATGCATAATAACGTCATGTGCTCGTCTATCGATCTTTTCAAACAAGTTCTCGAAGGAAACCGTGACCGTGCGCAATGTTATATAACATTTCTATGCATATGCGTATAAATATGTATAGATATGTCTGTATATAAACACGATCGTTGAACTTTATTTCTCGATATTAATTTATTTATGTATTGCGAATAAATTAAAATTAAAAAAAGATAATTTTTTTTTAACTGTCTAATCGTAACTATTCTTGAATATTAAACGAAAGAGATAGAAAATATTTTAAAATGCTTAAAATAAATAATTTATACATGTATATGTATCCATAATTGATATACTTTTATATTTTTAAGCATATGAGATAATAATCCTTAAAAAGTTAAAATAGTTTAAAATAATTTCTGAAAAATTACATTTGATAATAATAATGATTCAAAATATAGAATATATATTTTTCAAAATTTAAGATAACTAAAGTTGTCACATGGAAATAAATTGAATATTTTTTACATGATTATTATCGAAAAAATATGTACAAATAATATATATAAAAATAAAATTATCATGGATATTCAGGAATACCTCATTATAAGAGATGCGATATATTGTTGAAAATTATTCTGTTTTCAATTAAAAAGTTTTTATAGAATTATATTTATATTGCTGGTATTTTAAATTACATCTAATTACATCTTTCGTTTATTAATTATAATAAATAAATAATGATATATTATAAGTATATTTAACTCTTTAATATCAAAATCAATACATATTATAATTTTAATAAATAATAAAAATCTTTATTTAAAATATAAATCAGATATTAATTATTTCTTAATATCAATAAAAATATGTTATTTAATTTTAAACAACATATTTAATTATAATATCCTTTATTATATGTAGAAAATTCTAGAAGTTCTTATAGTAACATAAAATAAAATGATATAATTGTTGATTTCTCATATTTTTGATTCATAAATGATATAGATGATGTATTTGCATCATTATTGCATTATCATTGGATAACGTTGTATATACGTAAGAATGATTCATTCAGACGCATTCATCAAATTTGTAATGGATATAAGATCAACATTTATCGAATTTCTGGAAGCTTCCAGAAAATTTCAATAATTTTATATTTGATAAATTATAAGAGCTTCAATGAAATAGTTTAATGTTAATAAAATCAGAAATAAATGTAAAATAATATATCCTAGTAAATGATTTTTTATTTTAAATACAAATATATATATATATAATTTTTATATAATAATAAAATTTTTCCGCAAAATTATAAATTATATATTTATTTTCTCAAATGTATACATTTCTTTATTCATGATAAAGAAAAATAAGATCAATGATCATCTTTTCACTTACGTATTTCATACGTTTATTATATTATCCTCTAATGTTACTAATTTCAATAATAAAATAATTTTAAGTATAATAAATATAATTTTTCGACAATATTGTGACAAAATTGTCATAATACGTAGAACAAATATAACTGTAAACAAAATCAATCTTATCTAAATTCGTAAGTATTACAATATCGTATTTAAATTCGTAAGTATTACAACAAAATAATACAAATATCGATTATTTGATCCTATTCGATCGGTTCAAAAATGATAAAACAAACATGAGAATTGCATTTCTGTTCTTAGCCTAGTAACTTCTCGAAACTCCGCGTATAGACGATGCACCACTACAACGACGCTCAGCCATACATAAATAGCGGACGCTGAGATAGAACTCCAGTTGAACTTCAAACATTGGACGCATCACTGAGAAGGAATACGCTGTATCTATCTCTTTCGAATATAAACACGTGAATTTTGATTTCAAATTTTTCAAATATTAAAATATTATTCAAATATTCTTCGATCGGGGAACTTGAATTCGACCGAACACACATGATGTCATTATTGCCGCTGTTATTTTCTGCCTGGTGGGCAGATTTGGATCGTCCACATCGTATCTGGGATCAAAATTTTGGCATGGGCCTATATCCTGAACAATTAATCTTTCCCAGTTCGTTCGATTCGAGAATGTACTCACCGTTAAACAACAAAGCTATGTTGGATTTGTACTACCGACCTTTGGCTGAGCTTTTGCATCGTGACGGAGGTGGCTCGTCGACCATCACAGCGGACAAGGACACGTTTAAAGTGATACTCGACGTCCAACAATTTAAACCCGAAGAGATCAACGTGAGACTGATCAATCGGTTGGTCGTGGTAGAGGCGAAACACGAAGAAAAGAAAGACGAGCACGGTTTGATCTCGAGACAATTTATAAGAAAATACTTGTTACCTGAACAAGTGGATGAAGAGAAATTGGCATCGAGTGTGTCTTCCGATGGCATATTAATAATCACGGCTCCATTGAAGCAGATTGAAGAAAACTTGAACGAGAGGAACATCAAAGTCGAGTTCACAGGAAAACCAGCTCTTCGTGCTGATTCGAAGGAGCAAACAGCTGAGAAGAAACCAGTCTCTGAAAATGAAAATCAGGAGGAAACGACAGAAAATCCGACGAAGGAGATACCAGAGAAAAAATAAAATTAAATCTTTTTTATTCCTATAATTTTCCTGTAATTTATTTCTATATTAATATGTATAGACTGTTATTTATTATAGTTAATGATGATTGAATGATAATTGTATTATGAACTTTTGTTATGAAATATTGTTTATTTTTTCATAAAGTTTTTTAATAAAAAAAAGTTTAATAATATTTTATCGTGTAATTTTTATGATTCCCTTATTTCCTATAATAAACTATTAAACTATTAAAAACTAATATTTTAATATTTTAATTCTTTTTAAAGATTTATTCTTTTTCATTTGTTTTGCGAATTTATTTTAAACTACCTATATATTTGTTAAAATAAGTAAAAAAAATATAAAATATTAAGATTTTTAAAATTTATTTCTTGTTGACGAATAAATAATTATAATCATGAAATACTTCACATTAGAAATACGTATTATTACGAAACAAAGTAACTCTTTCTAAAAATATAAAAGTATTCACACGACAAGATTTCATTGTACACCTGTCCTTTTTAACAATAGAATATCCATATCTGGCAGATAGATTACATCTCATTTAATCCAAAGAGGATGCAAGAGGATGAAAACTAGAAACTTACATAGTACAATAAGGGTATTATATTTATTCTTTGTTATTTCATTATCTTCTTATTATTACATTTATTACATTCATACATTTTTAATATTTTAAATAAATAATATCTTAATTGTCTTCTATATAATATAATTCTAATAATTTTAAAGATTTTAAAAATAGGTAATATGATTAAAAAAATTTATAATTAACTTGTTGATATAATATATTACAATATAAAATATTTCGATAGATGAGCATATTTTAATTATTTGGCGCCAAAACTTAGCAGGCAGTCTTGCATGTGTTGTGCATTACGCGCAAACTCGTAAGTAAGATCATACTGCGGACAAAACGCCAATACTTGCATTAAACCTTATATGTATATTGAATCTCAGTGACGTATATATATTATGTATATTGATTATTAATAAACCGCATTTCTAGGGTTTTATTTCAAAGTATCGTTAAAATCCTTTAAATTGTAAGTTTCATAATTCAATTTACAATTTTATTTATATATAAATATAGCTACCTTTTTTTTTTTAATAAAATTATACTATTATTAGTATAAAAAATAAAAATTATTAATTGATAGCGTTGTAGTGTAAAAAATTTAAATGTTATTATTAATTAATAGATTTATATTATCAAAATATAAAATGTATTTTGAATATTAAACTGATTATTCTTCTTTTAAACTACGAGGAATTTATTAGACTTTTATAATAATAATTTATTAAATATTATTTATAAATTATAAATCATAACAATTTCATAAATGTTAATGATCAAATATTTAATGATAATGAAATTAAAACATAGTTAAAACAATGATAATATTTAAGTTATAACATTTAACATTATCTATTTAATTTTATTATTTTCCAAAAATTTCGCATTGCGCCTGCTTGCAAAATTTTTAGGTGCTGATTCGTTCGATTGAAGCGCCTTCCTTTATATGCTACGGTCATGTTGGGAAATACAGCAGTCCGTGTGGAACAGTGAATCTATCACAAACTGATCGATTATTTTAAATCAGAGAGTTAAAGTTCAATACCAAGTTCTAATCAACGTAACTCGAATTAGTTTAAAATTCGCAAATCTAAAATGAATTTGGAAAGCTTGCTTCTTCCTTATTTATGGGAGAATATGGAACGTGCTCATTCCACTGCAAATCCGAATCTTAGAGTTAGAATCAATCCGGAGAATCTGGGTTCGAAAATCATGCACGTGTATGATTTCCTACCACAAAAAACAAGTCCAAAATTGCACATGGACTACTACAGACCATGGGGTGAATTGTTACGCAAAAGCGAAGGTGGTGCATCAACGGTGACAGCTGACAAAAATCAGTTCCGTGTGGACCTGGATGTCCAACAATTCTCACCTGAGGAAATCAATGTTAAAGTTGTCGACCGTTTCGTAATTGTCGAAGCAAAGCACGAAGAGAAGGAAGACGAGCATGGTTGGATCTCCAGGCAGTTCATGAGGAAATACATAATTCCTGAACAATGCGACATCGATCAAGCGTGTTCGAAACTTTCATCTGACGGTGTCCTTTCAATTATCGTACCACGCAAGCAAAAAGTCATTTCGGAAGGCGAAAGGGTAATTAACATTGAACATACCGGGAAACCATGCGATGCGCAAAATGAAGAAAGAAAGGAGAAAGAGGAGGATGTGGAGTAATAACTTGAAATCTGACGGATGATTTTTATCACCTTTACTGTTTCTAGCTCTTATCGGAAATATTTATTTAGTGTTATATGAAAAAAACGTCTTAAACGTATTTAGATGTGTATAGATATTAATTCGTTGCGCGAATATTCTTGTACGTATAATATACAAAATTCGTTGAATATACATATGATATTATCTATTATTTTAAATAATTTTATTTTTATATGTGAATAAGTATATTAAATTTATTTCTATTCGTCATTTTGTAATATTTTGTATTTTCGAATATGTTTTTATTTTATTTTATTTATATCCTTTTAATATATTTCTATCTCTTTAATGATGTGATGGCAAATGATGATATTGATCTATGTACTATATATGAAAGTTGTACTGTATATGTAAAGTTTTATAAGCGGCGGATAATATGTCGAAATTTATTGTAATTGTAAAGCAAATCTAAACGATCGATAAAGAAAGTAAAGAAAATAGATTTTATTTTTATTGCATTTATTTGATAAATGCAAATTTATTTTTTAACTCTTGAAAATTATTTGATAATTAGTTCAAATTATCAAATTTGAGAAATACTTATAGATGTATCATTAAGAAAATATTAACTCTAATAGATGTAATTATTGAATAATAAATTACATATTCATATTAATTAATATTATATATATTTTCATGCTTCATAAGAAGCATTTGCATGTAAATAGATATAATCAATAAGATTAGATTTAATGATAACAGTTAATGATTTAATTATTGCATCAACTATGTTTCAAGAAAATATTGTATTTTATTTTGTCTTTCTCTATTGTTAAATAAATTGAAATTAAATAATTATATCAAATAAATAATATTGCATTGTTTTAATTTTAATATATTGTTTAATCATTAAAATTATTTTATAGATATCAAAAATTGTTTCAAACTAAAAAGTAATGGAATGTACGAAATTAGTAGAATTTAATTATTATTTTGTTGATTTCAAGAATAAATACAAAATTTCAAATTTTATAATCTTTCTTCCCATTTATAAATGTAAATGATGTATTTTATATATTTAAAACAAATTTTAAATTAATTTAAAAACTATTCACTTTACACTATACAAAATTTCACATAATCCTTTATTATATTTCAAATTTTTTATTTCTCTTTTTTTCTTTTACCATATGAATTATTTTTTTTACCATATAAATTATGTAATTTTCCTTTTCAGGAAAAAACGATGATAAATATCTTAATATACATACAATTATATATAATAACAGAGAAAAAAAATATACAGTCTATTTTCAAATATTTATATTTATTTAACATTTGTTGTAAATTCTATTCTAATTTCTCTACGAAATATCCAAATATTAAAATAATTTATTAAGTTCAAAATTTAATAACCTTTAAATGAAAAATTTTAAGAAATCAGTATACCCAATACGTTTTTATAAAATGTTATTAAATTTTATTGTAAATATCATATAATTAAAGAATTATAGAATTTTATTTAAAAAATAAATGGAATTAAATTTTTTTATTTTAAAGATGTGATTTATCATAGTATTTATCTGAAAATTAGAAATATATTGTTTCTATATTGTTTCTTATGATTCAGCATATCAAATATATCACATTCATGATTCATAATTCAAAATATTGTGTAATATTGTGTATATTATATATATATATATATATTTAAAAAATTTTATAAAATATAATTTATTTCTATCAGGACGTACAAACAATCGATTTGACATTTAGACACTCTTAAGCGGTTTACGTTAAAGAACTTGTTCTTATATTAGAATGAGTATACATAGTAACACGGTTTTCATAGACAGTGGCGTAAAACATAAAACGTACGTACTATGGTTAAGTTACGTTATATTGCGCAAGTTGCTATACAAAACTGATCTAAGATACGAAAACGACGATTGTGTTCAAGGGCAACTCGACATTTTCCAGGGTCTTCTCGAATGCGCGCGGTGGTTCTATCCCCACCATTTTCCTTAGTGCGCAACAAATATGTATAAAAGAGAACTACCTAGTTGCCGACAGTTGATGCCGACGTATGAACGATATAACAGTACGACGATTAATCAGCTGCAAATAAATCAGTAATTCATACGCGTTTCATAAAATTAATTATAAAGGTAAAGCATTTTAATAATTTGTTAGTGAAGCATTTAAATTAATTATAATCGGAAAGTGGGGAAACATTCCTAACAACATAAACTACAGTTTGAATTGGTATTGAAAATACTTGCACAATGTCATTAATACCAATGATGTTTTCCGACTGGTGGGAAGATCTAGACCGACCTCATCGTCTTTGGGATCAACATTTTGGCACAGCAATAGATCTAGATGATTTTAATGATCTAGATTCACTTGGTTCAGAAGTTCTGCTGTATCGACCACATAAACGCGGCAGAAGGCATCATCGTCATAATCATCATCCATTTTTGAAGGCTTTCAACAAAAGGCATGGCCGCGGTGCATCAATTGTTCAAGCTGATAAAGACAAATTTCAAGTGACATTGGATGTATCACAATTTGCACCGGAGGAAATTACTGTTAAAGTAGTAGATCAAAAAGTTGTCATCGAAGCTAAACACGAAGAAAAAAGGGATGAGCATGGTTGGGTGTCCAGACAATTTGTCAGAAAATATATCGTACCGTCGCAATGTGATATCAATCAAGTAGAATCACATTTGTCTTCCGACGGTATCTTATCTATTTCGGCACCAAGAAAAGAGCCTTTACAATCTAGATCAAATGAGAGAACAGTGAAGGTACATTATACAGGTGAACCAGCTTTGACTAATTTCGATGATTCTTCAAACGATGTTTCTGAATCACAAAGAGAACAACAACAAATTCCACAACGAGAACAATCACAATCACAACAGCAAAATCAGCAATTACAAAATCAGCAACACCAACAACATCAGCGTTGTAAAAAGGGCAGTAAAGGTGTATAAGTTATGTTCATTATTTTCTATTTTCATCTTAATTATTCATTTTTAATTTTTTTCCACCACAGTAAATGTAATTAATAGTATTATAAAACATTATATGAAACTTATATGTATATTAAACTTTACATGCACAAGTACAAAAATTGAAGACAAATATTGTATTAATTATTTCTTTAATAAAGTAATAAAGAAAGTTTATTTGATTTAAACTTGTGTTTGTTTAATTTCTTCCTTTCCATTTTAGATTTCGCAAAATGATAATAAAATTCAATTAATTATTCAAAAATTAATTGTTATCTTCTTTTCCCTTTTCCAATATGTAATGGATAATATATTTTAAACAATTTTTAAAAAAAAAGTAGTTCTTATTTATTTGTTTATTATTTATTTATTTTTCTTTTTCTTTCCATTATTAAATATCTAGCACAAGACAATTTTAAAAAAATTTTTATTCAAATCAATAAAATAAATTTTATTAATCATTCTAAAATATATTTTAATTGATATAAAAAATTATTTCATAAGTTATTTATTAATTACTACATATTTTCAAATATTATATTTTCAAATATCAAATAAAATTTTTAATTTTTCTTATATTTTGATTAAAAATATGATTGAATAATTGATATATATAGTTATATATTATCAAAAATCGTATACTATATATACTTAATATATATATATATATATATATATATATATATGTATT